TTTGAAGAGCACGCCTCCTTTCATCTGCTTCTTTAACTCAAAATTTGCTTTAAAGTCCCATTCCCACTGCTGGCCCTGGAACTTTCCCTTACAGGGCACCTAGCATTGTTGCCATTTCCACTATTTTAAGTTATCTGTGTGTTTTTTCTTTCAGTTGTTGCCAGTGCCCTAAAGTAGTCAGAACAAGTCATTTGTTGTAAGTGCAACAATTTAACTACAGTGAACTGCATTTGTTATTACTTGGCTGTGAGTGTTTTAAAGGTTTTCTTTAACTATTCCATTTAATAAATTATTATTATTATTTATTCCGTGTTATTTTGAATTAGCCACTCAGCATACTGGATTGGATTGACAGCCCAGAATTCAGTGTTCACTTGTGCTGCCTGGCATAACAAGATTTTTTCTTTTCCATTGGCAATGTTCATGGATCCTTAGCAGAAAGAATGGGGATCAAGTTAACAAAGCTGAACACTTCCTTTGCTGGCATTAAATAAATGCTGTACGTTTGGAGTCATTTCAGCTGTTCAATGCACTTTAAGTCATTTTCAAACCACTGCTAGACAGTCAGAGGAATCTACTGAGCTCTCCTACTCTTAAGAAGAAAAGATTGCTTTTGCATTTAGAAAAACATACTAATTTTGCTTCTATGTACAGCTAAAAATCAGAAGTGAAATGTGATTGAAAAACAGGTTATGAGTTTCCAGTGTTACCTGACATAAACCACAACCTGTCACTAAGAGACAGGCGAGTCCTAAGCGCGTATGCTTCATGCAATTCAGATGGGCTTTAAAATTTTCCACTATTAACATCTTTGAATGTAACTCAAATAGCCATTTTTATTCTAGGATTAAGCAAGAGTCCATGTTGTTCCACAGAGAGTTGGTGGCCCCTTCTTAGGCTATTGATATAGTTATGACAAATTGTTCTGAATTACATGCACCATAACTCAATACTTAATCTAGTAGCAAACTACTTTTTAGCTGCAGTCCCTAAACTTTGTTGTGGAAAAATAAGAAAAGTTGATGGAAAAAATTGGCAAAAATATTCAAATTTGTACTTGATAAACACTGAAAATAAAGAACTGTTAGTCAATTGTGATTTTACCAAGACTTTTTTCACAAGTGCAGTTAGAGCTTAATGATTTCAAGCAAAAGAGGTTTTTTATGTCAAATTATATATTGTTTCCTATTGTAAAACATTGGGGAGAGTAAATTATTACTTCTTGGAGGGGGTTAAAAGCAAGATTCAACAACTAAAAAGGATGAAGGAATTGTATGAAGCAGTAAAGGAAACAAATCCTCCCATTTGCTGGAAAAAGAAAACCATGGTTAAGGACTATGCTGTAAGCATGGAAACATATTTGCATCTGATTTTATTAGGGATGATTGATGAACTTTATATTCTGATGTCCATAGGTATTCAAACTGTATTTGAATAACATTTTCCAGAAAAAAATAGTAGCAACAAGTTTAAATATGGTGATGAACTTTTTATAGCAATAAAGTTATTACAAAAAGTTGTGATAAAAGACCAAAAACCACAAGGAATGGTCAAAACAAGGTTTTCCTGATACATTGATCCTTTAATTAGTCGGAGAGAAATTGTTATTCCATTAGCAATGGGGGTTTTTATGCCTTGTGAGGGTAGAAGATGGAAGGACAACAGTTCAGTCACCTGGACCACCAGTTACATTTGTTGCTTTGGCAGTTCACTTCCTCCCCACTTAAGGCTGCTCATAGACCTGAGCACCACCTCTTTGCTTCAGGTACTGTGGCTAAGATGAATTCTGCCTTCACAAATCTCTTTAGCTTTCAGAAATTTGTCAGGTTCTCTGAGAGTAGTGAAGTTAATTCCCTCATTATTTTAAGTGCTATGGAAAAGCAGAAACTGAGCTTTCAGAAGATAAATAACCAGGAATATAGGAATTCATCAAGATCTCAGTGGCCCAATTAAACGATTGAAGACTCAGCTCATGAAAAACTGAGTATACTAATAAAACCATGAGTCATCATTCCTTTTTTTATTGATTCTTGCTATCTTTCTGTATCTGAGGCAACAATAAACATGATTTATATGCACTGCCTTTAATTTCCCAGGATGTTCTAATCTCACAGTGGTGTAGGGGAAAAGTCAATGAAGACGGATGGTGAGCAGACTGCAAACTGGGAGGCAGGCAGCAAATTTGGTCAGAAATTGGGCTGGGATGGATCATGTTGCAGACATAAGTAACTTTTACATCTCTAGAGCTGATGCCATTTAGCATATATTATAAGAAAAAGAATGGTGTGATGGGTAAGGCAGGAAGATGGTCCTGTTTGTACCCATAAAAAGTGCCCATTTCAATCTCCTTTGTGGATGAATCAGAACATAACGCTTAACACTTATGAGCCTTTCTTCCCTCTGCACACTAAGCAGAGACAATTTCTGTGAAGATGTCTTCTGCAAGGTCCAAATAATCTAATTTGTATTGGTGAAACCTGCTACAGCAGTTCTCCTTGCTGAGCCACACAGGCAGCATAACACACATGGCATCACAGGAACTTCCAGTGCCTTCATATACATTTTCTATGTCACATGGGTGTTTGATGGAGAGCTGCCTGGAAATAGGCTGTAGGCTCCCTGGCAGAATCATTCACAAAAGATTAATTCAATCTTCTAAAATATAGAGACTAGAAAACTAGAAGAAAATTGCTACAGGCTATTTTCCAGTTCCTTCCCTTTGGATGCATTGTTGGAGCCTTTTTGAAAAACATTGAATTAGGCTGCAAAATCCTTCCCTTTCATTTATTGTCTCTGATAACATCCTCTTTATGACTGTATTCCAGTTACTGCTGAAATGGTGCCATTTCACTAAATGCTATTTATCTTTGCAAAAGAGATGGTTAAGCCTGCAGCTTCTGGCAGAGCCATGACCCTCATGCCTGCACAAGGGCCTCTGCATATGATACAAAAGAGGCTGTCTGTAAGAATCTGAATGAAGATGAGGTGCCAGAGCACTTGACTAAAGTGAGAATCAGTGCTGAGGACAGCTACCAGGAAAGTGCTTAAGGTGTAAGTGCAGATGCTTACTGACTTCCTTCTAAAATTACTTACCATGGCTCAAGAAATCAAGAGCATTGGTGTGCAAAGAGGTCAGTCATGGGCACAGAAAATGTAGTAGTAAAGCAACTAGACTTCTAGAAATGCTGTATTCCTCTGTAGAGAATGCCTCAGGGAGAAAAAAAAAAAAGCCTTTCCAAGGAGCAGCTTTTTGTAGGGCCATTGCAGCAATTGTAGGTCTCCAGTTGTTGTTATTGGAATAAGAAAAAGATCACATTCTGAAGCAACAATGGCTTAAGCCTTTATAAGCAGCTCCCTCTTCATGGTTCATTTTGTGGTCTCACCAACAAATTATTTTACAGTTTCTTCCAGAGAAAGGCAGCTCTACAGTTAGAGAAAAGCCCTTTGGGTTCTGTTCCTCAGCTCCACTATCCCTCTCTTCTCCAGTGAACACAGAGATCCTTAACCTACTTTTACATTATTATGAGGCTCAGAGCCTGTGTTGCTCCCTTTGAGGACAACTGGAAAGCTGCCACTGACTTCAAAAAGAGCATGGGCAGGCTTCTTGTTTGTTAACATTCGTAAAGTGCTTGGAGGTACTTAGACAAGAGATGTTACATAAATGTGATTAATATTGTAACTTGTCTGTCAATACTGAAAAGCTGTTCTGCACCTTGGTCAGCAGGATCTCCCTTCACAGCACCATATGGCTGAGGATAAGGGGTTAGTAAAATGCAGATAAATAATCTTCCTAAGTTCAATGCAACTATTAATCTACATAAATAAACCTTCTACCTTTGTCTAAATAAGGAAATCTCTTGTTTGTGTGGAAACCCTTTTAAAAGTATACATTAACACTAGCTCTTATTTCTGGTACAATTATAAAACATAGCTGCTTGTTGAGGTGTTATATGTTTGAATCATCACAGATGCCCTGGGGAATGGCAATATAACAATAGATACAGAAGGTGAATGCTATTTAATACTAACAATTCAACTGTTCATGTTAACTTTTGCCAGTTAATTGTCAAAATTAGCTTTATCTTCCAGTGACACAGAGAAGTCCACTAACACTGATGAGTTGTTTGGGTTACCTAAGTACTTTGGTGCCGTTTGTTCCCTTAACATTCCATGAGAGCAAAGTTATTTCTCTATCGTTTTACAGAATTCACAACAATACTTCAAAATCTGTGGGCATTTCTTAGTGGTTCTGTGCATTAACATTCAAATTAACTTTGAGCAGTTAATTTGGTTAGATGATAGAATCAAACTTTGGTTTGATTCTATCATCTTGAGGCCACTACAGCCAGAGTTTTGAAAAAGAAGTTAGAGGCTTGGAAAGAGAGTCAAATGAATGCAATGCCTAGAAATCACCTACTGACATGGAATGGCAGCCAGTGCTGACAGGGAAAGTTGGATACACTCCCCTGGAAGGATCCATGGCAGAGGGCTGGTAGAAGGATGAGGGTTTTGGATGAGTCTCAGCTCCTCACACCAGTAATGGCAATGAGTTAACAGTGAAATCCAACACTGAAAAACAGTAACAAGCACAAATCCCTGTCCTGTGTAGACAACCCACATTCATACACGGGCTTTATGTTGTATAAGCAGAGCCATCATGTATTATGAGAACTATAATATGTACTAACTGATTGATTTAATTATGTTCCATGAACCATTGTCTTTTTTCCTAAAAATTCAATCCACAAGATAAAATCTGGCATCAAGTCTTTTGATAGGTTTTCTTGTACAATGTAAAATTCCCCTTTTGTATCACATCCCTGCAATTCTCCATCAGCATTCTGTATGCATTTTTGTTACTGAGAGCCTAAGATTAAAATTTTATAGTAGTTCCTTTTCTGTATTGAAAGCACTTTGTTGTCATGTGCTGCAAGTATTAGTCAGTCTGGCTAGTCTTAACAAAAACAATGGCATGTAAATGAATAATATGGCTGTGTATCTACCATTTCAGATTCTACTTTAATCAGTTGAGGTAATTACCAAAGAAATATGCAGATCATCTGTAGATAATATACTTAAAGAACAAAGCATTCTTGTAAAAATGAACATTATTAAATTACAAAACTAAAAATATAATGAGTCGAGAGGAAACCTACGGGGTATTTGGGAGGGCAATTATAATGCACTTTATCAAACTGAACCATCAGCATTTGTATTCCCACATTTTTTTTCATGTCCAGCACATAAAGAAAGCAATTCTTGATGTAGAGAGCTGGTTTAACAGTCCTTAAGTGATGGAGAACCTGAGGTCCACATATAGTTTAGGCAAATATTTGCAAGCAGTGCAACTGAGCTGTGTTTTTCGTTTCTCAGAATGTAAGATACTTGGAGTGTGATGGGAAGAAGTCTTTAGTCCATTATTCCAGTCATGGCCTGGCAATCATAATGCCAGTTCATGCATCATTGATACATTTGGTATTTGAATACTTAGAGACACAGCCTTTCTACAGTAGAGGATGTTATTCACTATAATTGCTATTCACTCTAACTGCTGCTTTGCAGCCACTTTTAAGGCTTTTAGTGTTTTCAAAGCTGCTCTTTCCTTCTGTACAAATATGACTTTTCATTCTCTTACTTTATTTGTCAATATTAAAATGTGGAGTACTTCTTTGCACTCTGTTCAGCAAGTGATGCCTATAAAAGCTAGGTTTGCATTTTCAATTTCCACTCCATCAGTCTTTGTGCTGCACAGGGATATTAAAGCCAGCTCGCGAGGAGCTCACTACAGGCTCGTGTCGCTGAACAAACCCAGCTGTTTGCAAGCTTCACTAGTTTCCTTTAGCCATGTACCAACTCCAAAGCTCAAACAATTTCTCAGCCAGTTTGATGACTGATGAGTAGATTGGATAGAGCTTTGCAATTTGTCTGCAATTTGCCGATGATAATCCAGAAGTGGAATGTTAATGCTGCTCTCTGAGTTAGTCAGAGGTGGGAAGCTTCTTACAAAACTTCACTGCACTATGTGGACAAAAACCTTCTTCTCTAATTCTTGAGAGTAACTATTTTATGCAGTCTTCAGGATGACAGATTAAAAAATTAATGTATAGCTGCTTAAATAATTTAAATGCTGAAGTGTGTTAAATCATCAAACTGGGCAATAAGGATGGGTATTTTCTCTACCTTACTTCTATTCAAATTCAGCCAACTCAGTATTTCATGCCTGAAAAAGATTCTTTGCCCACAGGAGAGAGTCATGCTGTCATTGCAGTGTCACGTCCTGCATAAAGTACCACAGAGTTGCCCTGTGTTGACTAAACTAGAGCACAGATATGATGTCTTAATGTTAAAATTAACAGAAATTAACAAAGAACCTGCAAAAAGGTCTGAGTGTTACAATTGTTTCACATTTACAGTGAGACTATATCTAACATCAGTGTAATTTGCATGGAAGACAGAGGGTATTTCTCCTGGCTGTTTATTCAGGCAGACCCAGTCTGGCCTAGAAGTCAGTCATCCCTTGTGCAGCTCCACCTTAACAGATGGAGTTGGCCTCTGCTAAATGTAATCTACCCTTTAAACTAGCTATGTAACCATGTTTGGATCTTACACCTAATGTATTTTTCCTTTATAGTTTTTTTAAAAAGACATTTTCAGTTATGTAGCCCCTTTTCCTGTACAGCGCTTCACAAGAGTGGGCAGCTCTTGACTTTGTAGTGGTGTGCACCATAGAACATTGACTTCATGATTGAAAAACTACATGGACTTGTCATTTCCAGCATCTTCATTTTTTCTTTCAATAATTATATTCATGAACTGAAGCAAAAGAAGTAGAATACAGACCAGCACAGAGACAAAACCAGCCGCTGATTGCACAACATGGACAGCTGTTTTGTGCTTTTACAGAGCATTCAGGAAATAGTTTGTTGTATTTGGCACCCATACCCTCTTAATTCAAAGAGGCTCTAATTTATATCAACTAAATATTGTAGCAGTGAAAATCCCTGTGGCAAGCACATGAAGCTTGTGGTAAAACAAAGAGACACAAAAAGCTGTCCAAAATATTGTATGTCAGCTATTTAACGTGTTAGAGCTGATTTATTATTGACAGTGGCTAGCTATACAGACAGTTATCCATTTTAATTTTAATAAGCATCTTAAATACATGTAAATTCAGCCCAAATGCTGAATATTCTTTTTTTGATCCCAAAGCCCCACTTGCTACTGAACAACAGCTCCGATTTATTGAGAGAATATCCTGTGCTATGACTGCAGTGGGCAGAGAATCAGATGTGACCATTATGGAAGACATTAAGTCCTGGTGTTTTTTTCTGGATTTGGCCACCTCTCCCACAGATGAATGGCACTGTTAGTTTCAATGCTCAGATTTTGTTTCCTTGAGCTCTTAAGAGTACATGACCTGTATCATTCTTTTTATAGTATCTAATTTATGATGTGCTTACTAAGAATGAATGCTTACTAAGAACTTTTTCCATTCTTTCTTTGCTCATTTCAAACTTAGCTTCAATTCTGGAGAAAAAGCCATATAGCCATAAGCAAGGTTAAAACAATATTTAGCAAATGTTGTGATTTCTGTAGATATCCATATTCCTTTCAAATCATGCCTAGTTTGGCAATCATATGGATGCACTATTATAATTTATAATTCATCAACATTCAGTTATACACCACATTATGATGTTTATTGCTAAACAGTTCCCTATTTCTTAGTTTATTTTTGATCAGTTTACTGTTGTAGTTAAGAAAAGACATATATACATGGACAATGAGAGGATACTGACTCTGAGCCATTAAAAGGAGACAACATTTTCAATTACATGTCAGGTTATTATTTCTGCCCCCTAGCAGAAAGGTAGTATCCAGACTTCAAAATAAGATACTAAGATTTTGTTATGAATGGTGGACTGGCTATGGGTAATTTATATAAACTGTTATAGTTCTAATGACTTCACCACAACAACTTAATTAAGCAATTGAACCTGACTGGTATTGCATTGTTGAGGGATTATTGCATGCCTTTAATAAAACATAAAATAAAAAGCAAGACATTTCAGCTACCAAGAGACCTCTGAAAACTAATCTTCTGTCCACTTTTTTTAAAAAAAGAGGAACTAATGGAATTTTAGGAAAGCAGAAAAGAAAATAGGTCAGTCTTGCATTTAGCAGCCTAAGGATATTTATCACCACTATGAAACATCTGCCCAGAATACTGTATTAATTTCTCATAACCCATTGCAGGATGACTTTTACCCTGGAACCAAGATTCAAACAATGGTTTCATGTTAAGATACTTTTCTATGTATTCTGACAAAAAGCAAGAAGAATTAGGGAGCCAGCCTTGAGGTGTTCTTTTGAGGAGTGAGCAGAGATGGAGACAATCTCCTCTCATTAGGTCTGTCTGCTTTGGTGGAGACAGCTGAAAAGACAATGGCAATAAATAGTATTAGCAGCGAAGAATGGTGGGATAGAGCCCAGTTTACTTGAGCCAAGCCCTGCATTGCTGTCAGAGCTTTGCCAGCTGAAAATATGGTTTGCAGTAGATTAATTATTATTGACTAAATCTTTGGATCTAGAGCCAGTTATGTAATACAGAAATGCCTAAATCATTTATTTCACTAAAACATTGAGGAGAGCTGAAATTTTGCCATGCTAACAAAAACCTATATTTATCATAACCACTCTGCTGACAGGGTCTACCAGTACAGGTGTACTGTAATGCTTTCCAAAACTTTACCTTTCAGTATTTCATACCTAAATGTAATGTGTCACAAAAGGAATGAGAAGATTAAGCCAGTCAAAGCCAAACCAGGAATTAGTCTCCTTTTTCAAGCTTTTGAGGTTATCTTGCTGCATTCTATATGGAGAAGTAATAAAGACTTTGTTTAAATCTTTTTCAATCTGGAACAATGAAATGAAGAGTAACATGGAGGGTGTTGTGTTGCAAAAAGATTTGGCGTTGTTTTGATCCCTGTTTTTCTATTTGAGCTCTATGAGGTCTTCCTGGTCTATACTCAGTCTTCAGTACCTGAAGGGCACTGCTTGTTCCTGTTGCATGCCTGATCAGTGTCAAGTGCTTGTAGTTAGGTACCAACATACTGTCTTAGCACAGATTCCCTACCGTGTCAACATTTTATTGCATTTTGAAGGTTATTAAAAAAACAAACTATTGAATTAATCTTCTGCTTTCTTCCCATATCCCCATGGACTTACCAAATATATCAAATATCCCCCTCCCATCTTATATCTGATGTCAGTGACGGGCTGTCTTCACAGGAGCACCTGCTGCCCATTGAGGATCAGATGAAACAATGGACGTGTTTGACCTATGCTGGAGTTAGCACGTAGTCAAAAGAAGCAGATGCCATTTTTATTTAGCTTGCTGGCACCTGAACATCCACTGCTACAAGAGTCAATGCTGATGAAGGAGGAAGAGGGCTGTGAAGGTGCCTTATGAACTTCTCATGCCAGTCTTTATCTAAGTGCCATAGAGGCATTTCTGCCACTTTGGCATCAGACCGAGGGCTGGCATTCCTTTTGTTTCCCTTTCCTGTTATCTCTCTGATATGCTTTGTTCCTTGAGCTGAGGATAATCACATTAGGAACATACTGTGCTTCTATGTTTAGATCTCTTATTAGTTTATTCAATAGGGTAAGTATAATTATGCTCATTTTGAATCATTGTTTGAAGATGAAACAATTTGCTCGACATCTTACCTCAAATCATTTAGATATATGCTTTTATATCTGTGAAAATTCCTCATTGTATTGCTTGTAGTAATAGCTTGTCTCACTTAGTTCCACAGCCTGTGTGTCCCGCATCTCACTTCCAAGCAAACTCCATCCGAGACTTCTGCCCACTTTACACTGTGATGTGGGTGAGAGGCACAGCCTCACACAGCAGCAGCAGTGAAGGAAGCTGCCTTGCAGGGCACCTCATTCTCCCCAAGGTAAGGAATGAAAACTTTGAAGATTTCTCTGTTTCCTCTAAAAACACAGAACAGATGTATGTTGACATTTAATTTCTCCTAGTCAGCTATTTGTAAGCACACCACTTCTTAAAGGAAGTATAAAGTTATGTGTATAGAGGTTCAGTAATTTAAAACAACACACTCTTTAGCTGATGAATCCCAACACAGTTTTCTGTTCAGTTACCATTCTCTGCTATAATGGACTGAAAAGTTGCACTCATAAGCCAGAGTCATTCAGAAAGTCAAATTTTTTTTCAGCTCTATTTTATGCAAATTTTTTAAGGAAGGGAAAAATTAAAGGAATTTTGAAAAGGCTTTTGGCAATTGCATCCACAGCAGTGTATGTATTCTGTTCAGCACAATCATTACACTGGAGCACACAAAACCCCAGTTTTCATTTGTTGGGACTGACTTTTAAGAAGCTTTCTCACCAGTGCATACAATTTGGTCTGTGTGTCCTTTTTTGTGGCCATTATTAACTCACAGTGTGGGCTATAAACCCAGGCTTCCTCATCTGGTGCCAACTGGCGTCTGTCACCACTCTCTCCTTATCTGCTACCTCTGCCAGTTCCCAGTGTGAAATGAGGCCACGCCACGCTATCATCGGGATTAGACCTAATGCACTGAGTTCTGTCTGCCCTGTTTATTTTTACCAACTTATTTATATTTCCAGTCTGGGCATTGGATGCCCAGAAATACTGGTGTTTTATTAAGCAGTAAATCCACACAGATGTAAAGCCTGACTATTTCCTCTTGCATTTTTTGTGTGTCCTTAGAGGGCATGGAGGAGATGCAAAATCCTACAGCACAGAAAGCCCTGCAGAAGTTGCTTCCATACCACTGCCATGTGTGTGTCCAGGTGCAGAAGGACCAGGGGACACAAGGAAGGACAATTGCCTGACTATGATGAGAGGCACCTGGTGCCAATTGACCTAATGCTCTGCAGGTATCAACCAGATAATTGTTCTGCAGCTGTTTCCTAAACTAGACATATATTTATTAGATATTGGGAGATAAAATAAACAATAAATGGATTTAAAACTTCCTCCTCTAATATATAATGGTGATTAAATAAAAAACATTATATGATCCATTTATAATCCTTATCTGAAACTAATGGAACAAAACCCAAACTAGATAAGATGCCAAAGCACAAAGAGCAAGGACACAAAGATGAGATGTGAGGTTCTCATGCATGGAAGAACATAAAGGAACTCTGCAAAGAGAGCAATCATCTAGTAGCTATTTAATGCCAATGCAAAAGTATCCTTATCCAGTCCAGTCCATTTTTAGACACAGACAATCTCTTACTAGATATTTCAGATATTGCACTGTTGGACAGCATTTTTCTTCACAACCTAAACAGGGTCATCATTTTCTTCTCTTCATTTTTTTCTTAGTACCACAAAAAATTTTTAATCATGGCTGTTAACACCTTTTTAAATACTTATTTGCCTGTTAAATCACCCAGTACCTTCTTTACCTTCCTTAAATTATCACAACTCACTAGTCAGAAAGCAGTAAAAACATTAGGCTTTCATTTAATAAAAACAAGGTGAGCAAAGTTAAGACAAAATTGGAAATTAAGCAAGCCTCCAAAGCTTGCTCAAAAAGCTGCAGAGCACTTCCAGAGGGTGTAATGAATTTCAAAATGTTATGCATGTCCATTAAGCAATTAGATTCATGGTAGACAGGCACCTCAAGTGCAGTGAAAAGAAAGATGTCACCTCTCAGCAAGTCAGTCAGCAGCAGATCACTGAGGAATGGGTGGTGAGCTGGGGAAGAATCACCACATGCTTTCCAAACACCTTGTGTCAGCCGCTTTCAGGAAAGACTAATGAACTAGGCGGACTTCTGTCTTGGTTCAATACATCAGTCCTTACAGTTTTTTATTATCCTTTTGGGATGGGTGGATTGCTTCTTTGATTGATGTAACTTATCTACTGTATCACACAGAAACTCTGCCGAGAAACCAAATTGCTATATTCATCATAATGTTGCTGGGACAGAGGTCAGCAGTGCAGAGCAGCACTTCTGGGCTGATGAAGGCTCAGCCTGACAGCCTGGGAAAGGGTTTCAGAGAGAGATGCTGAAGGTGTGTGCATGTGCGGGGTAGAGTTAGGCTGGGTGAATGCACAGCAGCACGAGTGCCACTTGGGTTTTGCTCCTCACTCACCTGCCGTGGCAGAGGACAGATCCCTGTGTGGGAGCCTCAGGGAGAAGCTGCTGCATGAGGAGATGCCAGCGCTGCGCTGATGGACCCGAGCGAGCTGCAGCGGCCGAGGGGCTGCGGGGCCGGGAGCAGAGGGGCTGCGGGGCTGGGAGCAGAGGGGCTGGGAGCAGAGGGGCTGCGGGGCCGGGAGCAGAGGGGCTGCGGGGCCGGGAGCAGAGGGGCTGCGGGGCTGGGAGCAGAGGGGGAGCAGGGCTGGGAGCAAAGGGGCAGCTCAGCGGCCTCAGTGCCTGTGCTGGCAGGGTGCCCCGCTTACCAAAGCCCAGGGTTGTGTTCCTTTCCAGCAAAACATCAGCACCCTGCGGTGCAACAGCGCTTTAAGCTGCAGAAGAGTCATGTCTTCCCTGTGTGAAGTTCATCAGGGGGGAACTCCAGGACACTGGCTAAGGTTTCACTAACTAAAACTTAACACTTTCAGGCCATTACAGCCTCAGGATTGTGCTTTCTTATGCGTAGATTCCTCTTTTCTCCCTTCACCTCCTGACTCAATCAACAGCAGTGGTTGGCTTCCAACACACTCGGCACAATGTAATTGAGGGCAAGTAGCCAGAGCTTAGTGGTGGTACTTGGATCAGAAGAAGGTGAAACAGTTGATGGAGACTCATGGACACAAACCAGAATGGGTTTCAGATCTCTGTTTCCTTATTGCTTCAAAGAAAACTGCATTCATTTAGTCCAAGGAAATTAAATGTAATACCGGCATTCATATTTTTAAATTTTTCTCATTAATTAAAGAAATCAGACTACTGAAGTTTCAAAAATAAATAACACTTCTCTGTTCCTATAAGCTTAAATAAGCTGTGATTTATTTAGAAATACTAAGCCCAAACACTTGATATATAGCACTTGCTACTGGGAGATGAATTGTCCGAACCAGTCAACCTTCATCATGATTCATTACTACCCAGCAATACAGACCACTGCAAGAGGTCTGCTTGTTTCAGACAAGCAAGGCATTGCAGCCTACAGTTCTGCCAGTCAGCTGTAGTCTCTGACTATATTTGTCCATAAACAGACCTGATAATCATAGCCCCAACAGCTATTAAATTATTGGAGTTTACTGGCTTCATTATTTGAGTTAATTTTTATCTTAAATTAATTATAATTATTATTGTATTTATCTAGCCATCTATCAACAAAAAGGAAGAAGGATTCATAGGCCAATTACTGTTTTCTTGATAATTTAATGTATTCTGTGATTGCTTAACCTGGGCTAAGATGGTAAACAAACATCTGTGTTTTTCCATTCAGTTTGGCATAGTTTTCTTATTTGTGGAAGCAAGAAAAATACTGCCTCTACAGTTCAGTGCTCTGTTCCTATCAGTTTCACTGCTCTGATGCATTTCACTCTTTTTTCCTTGTAATTCACTTTGGGCCAGGTACTCTGCTCTGAATTGATTTAAACCCGCTGAGGACAGGATTCAAGAGCACATGAGTAAAAAAGAATCTTGTTAATCTATCTGTTTTCACCTTATTAAACCAAAGCTAGATTGTATTATGTACTTAATTTGCATTATAATAATCTCAGTACATGTGTCTGCAGTAGTCAGCAACTCAGAAACATATGGTTATATGGAGAGCTTTATGCCTGAGACACTTCCAGTGGTTTTGGGGGTTATTCCAGTGTCAACATCCCCGTGTGTGTTCGTGTGTGCAGGATCAGGGTCACAGCTTTCAGGCAAGTCATTTCTAAACAGGAACATGACATGCTACATTTCACACTGTGACAGATCTTGTAGTAATACTCAAATCTTCAAGAAATATTCTCACAAAGTGTGACTCAAACTGGCCTTGACTGTCAGCATACTTAAGGGATCAAATACTCAGAAAAAAGAAGTTTCAGAGCAAGAAGCCAAAGCAGCATAACTATTCTTAGGTACTGCCTGGCAAAACCCAGCTGCCAGCTGGCTGACCTAAACATGGTGATTGCCAATTAAAAGGAAAAATGAAGATGATGACGAATATTAGACTGAGGGCTAGTTAAAGAGTTTGCATAACTTGTCTTTGGCTTTCACCAGCCTGATTTTGAGGTTTGGTGTTCCTACCCCAAGAGTTCAGCTGTTATTTTGTTATCAGTATCAAATATTTTTCATGGTAAAAACTACTGACAAATAAATATTTTCACAAAGCAGGACTTTGTTAAAGCATTTAAAAGTTTATAGATAATAGTTTATTTATAGATTATTTATAAATGTATAGCAGTTTTATTTATAGTTTAGAGTTAATAGTTATATAGTTATAGTTTATTTTTTCTACTTTCAATCCCAATTTTAGAATTATTTACCGAACATTGCATTCTGAATTTTTTTTTGTGACTGTAGAAGATTTTCTACATTATGTTTACTTGATAACTTTAGTTTCTTTTCTCTCTGAAGTGTCATAGACTGCCTTATGTGTTGATGTACTAGACAACTAGAAAATATTTTTTATTCAATCAGAGTAACTATATGATATCACAAGCTCCTTATGACTGAGCAATATGTTATCAATAAGGCCTTGTGCTTAGTAAAATACACTTATTTGCCTATGAATATGGATGGCATTTCACCTGGTATTTATTGTCTCTTTCCTACAAAATTTATTCTTTCATCACTCTCCTCATCCTCCTCTCAGCAGGTGAAACAATGCAACTCCTTTAACCTTTCCTTGTAAGTGTAGGCCCTTTACAGTCTCCTCTCCTCTCCTCCATTTTCTCTGCATCCATCCTAACTGAACCAAAAACCCCTCCTGAAAGATGTGTTTCAGATGGAGCCTCCCCAAGACTGAGTAGAGAACAAGGCAGTGGGACAGAGAATGTGAAACCATGCAATATAAACCTGACATTTTCACTTAGGAGCGAAGAGTCTTTAGGAATCTCTAATGAAAGTGTAGCAGGGTAAGATCACCCTCACCCCAGACAGGAGCACAGCATCAGGGCAGAGCCCTTTGGGGCACATGTAGCAAAGGCTTAGCACTTTCTCCATCATGTTCATTTTCTTCAATGTTTTTGGCTAATAAACTTCCACAAGTGCACCTTTAACGAGCTGGTATGAGCACTGCACCAGTTGAGCACTGCTGCCACTCTGCAGTCAGGGCAGGTGATCCAGGCAATGCTGCTCACCACTCACTCACCAGCTGTTCCTGGTGGCAAGGCTGGGAAAGGGACCCTCGGTCAGGACCAGTAGTTATTCCAGATTCAAAGGACCAGATCCAAATATTACATTCCAGATACAGATAAAGTGATACAAACACCTTACTGGTGGCAATAGTGAACAGCTACCAGACAGATTAAACTAACTCCTTTTCTAGTATATTTTATGTTAAGTGTGATTTGATCAGCTCTTACCCATCCCTAAGGAATTCTGAGGCTCTTTGGTTCTGGTACTGCTCTTTGGTATAGACCAGTAGTTTTAGTCATGTTTATTGCCCCATTTGAGGATTTTTGGTAAAGGACCATCTTTTCTGATGTTTTTTGACTACCATCATGGCTAAGGTGTTAGGCAGAACTGTGGTTCTGTGGTTCTGCCTAGTCAGAGACTTCATCACATCTGCTGTGGACAGCCAACTCTCCTTGCCATCCCCTCCCACTTGTGATCTCCAAACTGCTGCAATTTAAGCACTTGCTAGGCCAGTTCAGTACAAGTAACATTGTGGAAAAGATGTGATTGTTTACTAGTGCTCATCCCATAAGAATATCTCAAAAACAGTTATAATATATTTTCATTTAAATAGAAATAACACTTCAGTGATTTTAACTCCCTGAATCAAAACACATCCATTTCTGGCTTTTCCGGGGATTTGTTTCTGGTTTGAACCATCTTCTAGTGACCACAGCTGTTCCTACATGTCTTTGTGCGCTTTTTTTAGCTATGTAAAGAATTGCTAACACTCAGTATGGTCCACATATACAGACTGATAATTCAATACCACTTTCTCTCATGATGAATGATTACAGACCTAATGGTGGCTTCTCCAGATAATGGATTACGAGTTCTGTGAACTCTGGTTTCACCTTTTCCCCTGACTGGAGGGGTTGGGATGTTTTTTCCAGGTAAGAGTCTCTCTCGATTTAAAGTGAACTCATGCTGCAGCTGTTTCTTCAGCCACGGGGTTTGTAGCTTCCCCCTCCACGCCCTGATCATCAAGAAACATTCAGGAATGAAGATAGCAGATGGGCGCTCGCGTTGAGATGAGCAGGCTCTCCCTCTGGAGGCCTCCAACAGCAACAGCTTCTCCCCTTGTCTCAGAGACGCGGGTGAGAAGCGCTTTGGCAGAGCCAAAATGCTGCTGGAAATCAGTCACACCTCGAGGACAGGAGGCACTTGCTTTCTGCTTTGCCTTACACCACCAATCCTTCTGGCGAACGTGGCTGCATTTGCCAGCAGCTTCAAAAGCTCTTGGGCTGGCAGCTCTGGGCGCTTCATCCCGATCCGAAAAGGGGGAGCGGGGCCGGGGCGCTCCCACCGCCGGCCGGGCCCGCAGCAGCCGCGGCGCAGCGGGCACTGGAGCAGCCCGCAAGAACGAGCCTCGCAAAGATGATACGGACAGAGGAAACGCTAAACCAGCCCATAATGAGCTTCTCGTGCTAAGGTTTGAAAAGCGTACAACCAGGCCGGCATGAACTACTCAGGGCTTTAGCCATGTTCAGTTCAGTCCCACACGTGTAGGATTTCGGTGTCACAGTCCCCCATCTAAACAGCTGAGTCACTTTTTCTGAAACTTACTTGGCATAAAATGAAGTATTTCTGGGCAAAGAAGGAAGATATGCAGTTTTTCCCAATAAGATATTCTGGATTTTATATAAGATTTACAATTGTGATTCTAAAAATAGGAAATGCACCATTTTTCATTAACTGGAGTAATTTGTATCAAGAACTCAGAATCAACTTTTATTGTAGAGACCAGTTGAATTAAATGAGTTTCACTTAGTACCTTCCATTGGTCTTGTACTTTTTTTTTTTTTTAACTTTCATCAGTCTTTTGAACTCATGTAGATCAGGTCTCCCAGTAATAAGCAGCTCTTCACCTCACTTGTAAAGGATGCTATCAGACTGAAAGACAGCAAGAGGCAAAGGTTGTTTGAAAAGTTTTTTTTTAATATCAATACCTCTTTATAAATAA